AAACTACGGAACCTTAACGGTCCAACCTTCGGTACCTTCGGTTCCCGTTCCTTCCTCCTTCGTACCTTACTTACCCGGTACCTTCGGCCGTTCCTTCCTTCCTCCTCCTCCTCCTCCTCCTCCTCCTCCTCCTCCTCCTCCTCCTCCTCCTCCTTCAGAGGCTTTACAAAATGCTCCCAGGGGCTCCTCTCAACCACCTCCTCGGTGGGGCTGCACCTTCTCTCTGTGGCAGGCAGGCGGGCGGGCAGGCAGGCTCCCTGTAGGTGCCTCTGGTTCTCTCCACACGAGGCTGGGCCCTTGTGGGGAAGAGGGAAGGCGTGGTTCCTGTCCTCAAAGAGATTAAAGCTTGGAGGAGGCAACCGTGCTGAGCACCGGATGAGTTGCTCTCTGGCTCCCATCCCCAACCGCCCACCGGGGCCCACCTACCCGAGCTGGACCGAGCCGAAGTCTGGGTTGGTCCCCTGCCCACAGGCGCGGTCTTATCAGGATGTGAAGACAAAACTGGACTCTCCAGTAATGACACCATAATGCTGAGAGTGGGGAGAAGGGAATCAGCCCCCAGAGGCACGGGAGCCCCCCGACACAGGGCCCAGTGCCGGCCCACAGGCCGCGAGCACCCCGGCTCAGGGTGGCCGCAGCTGCCAGGGAGACGGGGTCCGGGTGGCAGCAGGGCTAGCATTGCGGGGGTTGCTATCTGTGTCTCGGTCAGGGCTGGCCGCCTGTTCCTGGCTACTTCCCACTAGTAGGAAAGGCCACATCCGAGAGTCCTTCTGCTGCCCGGCACCCAGCGACCGCCCCGGGGAGGAGTGTTTGTTCTTTCTTTTCAGCAGCACTTGGAGGTCCTCACCAAGAATCGGGGAAGCCTGTGACCTTGGCCAGGTTCCTTTTACTTTCTTCCTCTCGGAGGACAAGGGCGAGGGAAGCCAGGAAGTGCGGGAGACGCTTCCCTCCCACTCCTGTGACACCCGGGCCGCTGTCCCCTGTCCTGAGAATTTAGGTCTCGTTCCTTCTCTCACTGCACCCGTGGCCACCACGTCCCACGTGGCCCCTGTGCTGCCCACGACCGTCCTCTAATCCTCACTCCACCACCAGGCACATGCCCCTCTCTGCGCTTTACAAAGGAGGGAAAAACAAAAGATTGGAAGTGAAATCATAAGGAAAAGATGTGGGATTAAGTTAGATGTCCGGGAAGAATATCCAGTTCGTAAGATCCTGTCGGTGTCACCTGGTCAGAAGGGTTTATCAGTCACTCCTGCCCTTTGTTCACGGGAGGGGAGCCCCAGAGAAGGAAGCCGCTCTCCCTGTGGGGACCTGCTCTCCCTGCCGTCCTGCTGTGACAGCCTGGCTCCTTGCTGGGGTACTGCGGGCCTCTTGCCGGCCTTCCTCACCTTCCCTTCCAGCCTGCTCCCCGACTTCCCCTCCACAGTAACCCCTTATCCATATGTCACCACCACCGGCACCTTCATCGCCTGTCATCCCCAGCATATGCTCTACTCACCTGGCTCTGCTCAGGTGCCTGCTGCTCTCACCCCTGTCCAGACAGCTTTTTAGTCCAAGCTCAAATCTCACCTCCTCTAAAGCTGTCTCTGACCATGCAGCCAAATGCCCTTTCTTTCTCCTCTGAACTCCAGCATCCCCTACTCACTGGGCATGTGGTCCTGGACAGGTAGTGCTTGCTGGCTTTTCCATTAACTAGCAATGGCGGATGGCTGTCTGCGTCCCACTGGGAAAAGGCTGGGCTCTGGGGGTCCCTTCAGCCCCTGCCTCAGCCGCACTGCCTGTGCTGTGTGTCTTAACCCAATTCCAGTTCCTTGGACTGAGTCTGATTCATCTTTGTTACCTCTAACCACCAGCCTTTTCCCTGCCCAGCATCCAGCACTGGGACAAGAGCCAAGCTGAGCCCCAGTTAATGTTTGCTGAATGACTAGATGGGTTTTTGTGGCTCCTGAGAGGTACATGAAAGCCGGTCAGAGCAATGGGGGAAAGTATTGTGTTTAAAAAACACACTTGTTAGTTTCTGGCCAGTTCTAGATAGCTGTTTTCCTCTCCCTCCTCCTCCCTCTCTCCGTGTCCCCTAAGGCTGCTGGAAGCCCCAAGCCGAGACAGAGCCATAATGGAAGGTCAGGACTGAGAAGCAGCTCTGCACATTTCTCAGTTGCCCAAAGTCTACTTTGAATTCTTTAACCAAAGCACACTGATTCCTACCTACAAGGAGGAAGTGCCGATGTGACCTCCCCGGTGACCCTTCAGAGTCGCCTTTCCAGGTGTTGCCCCAACATGGAAGCAGGAATTCCTGTGGAAAATGTACAGGCTTGGACAAAGGGTGGAGAAGGGCCATTGGACCCCCAGATAAGGGCCCTTCGCTGAAGACATTAACATAGGTTAATGGTTAACAAAGGGAGGATTTCTCTCTGTTCCTCCTCCCTTGCCAGAGAATTCACCTTTAACCGTTGACCTTTCTGCGAGGTGTGAGATCTGAACAAAGTTGAACACAGTCATGGATGGTTAAATACCCATCTTTGCCTTCCACCCCTGCCTCTGCCCCTCTAGTGCCTCAGAAGACAGTATTTGGACCACCTCCTAGGTTGGGTGGCTGGTGACAGAGAAAAGACACAGAGACACACAGAAAATGAAAGTTGGAAATGGCCCTCTGGCCCTTTAGGAAGCCAGAGCCTCGGCTCTTAAAGCAAAAGAGAGTCCTGTACCAGGAAGGCCAAGCCATGCCCCTCGGGCTGAGTTTAACAGAAGGAGGCGTTCCAAATACCATACCAGAATCAGCTGTCCAACCTCTGACACTTGGTGATTGCTTCCTGCCCACTTCTCTTCGAGCCCCACCCCTGCCCCCAGGGACCTGCAGGCCCACTGCATGAGACATTTCACATGTGCTGGCAGAATCCCCCAGCACCAGGCTTCACCGACCTCCCCCCGACTCCCCCCACACATGTTTTATTTAGTGTAGCCCGATAGCTCACCATCCCACCCCTCTGTGTGCCTAATTGAGTTTGGGGAGAATTGACATCCAGTTGCTTCATTTGCTCAGGATTTTGTTCCATTCTGTGCTCATTTTGCTGGCCTGTTCCCATCACCTCCAGCTCCAGTTGCCCAGGACCAGCGTGCCATCTCTACTTTGATGTGTGTGACTGGTGCTCACCTTGGGGGCAGGTTGGGGGCGGGGATTGGGCCAAACCTACCAGGGCCCCTGCCTCCATTTGGGCAGGGGCTGGGTCCTTGGAAGGCTTGGAGAGTCTTTGGTTTCATACTTTATCCGTCCCCAAGCCACTGGGAGCTGCATCTGAGCATGCAGTTCATGCATCTGAGCACGTCTCCATGATCCTTCCCTAAGCAGCCCAGCCCCACTGCCAAGCAGCTCGGAACTGCAGGCCTGGTTTCTACATTCATGGAGCCCGGGAGGAAGAAGGAAAGCCCAGGGGCTGCCCAGGTGCTGGCTGTGCCTCCACGTCCTTCCCCGCTCCCGCTCCCCTGCGGGAATGAGGCGGGACTGGGAGGAGGATCCGGAGGAAGGATAGACCAGTTCAGGCTGGTGAGAAATAGGTAAAACCCTCCATGTGCTGTGCCTCGGAACAGACCACGAACACCCCCTGCAAAGCTCTCAGTGGTCAAACCAGATTTCGATATCTACTCCTTCTGATCTCGGCACTTGCTGCTCTCTTAAAGGTCCACGTCATGCTCCTCTTTAAAGAAATATTTTATTTTCAATACAGACACAGCCCTTGATGTAGCAGTAAAAGCCACCACCCCTGAGAGACACATGGCTGTGAAGTGTGTTGGTATGTAACTTCCTGTCTTTGCCCACGTGCAAGGCTTCACTCACTGCTCTTTTTGTCCCTCAAAGGGTCACCCCCCCCCACCCAACCACCCCTGGTGCCCAGGCTTCGGGAGGCACTGGAGCAAGGGCCAGAGGTCGGCTCAGACAGGGGGCACCTTCTGGCAGTGACTGGTTTGGGATGGGGAGGAGTTGCGGTTCTTCCCCCGACAAGAGTTTCTTTGAGAACCTCGCTCCCTGCCCCCCACTTTTTTAAGATGGAAGTCAAATTTTCGGATTCTGCTGTGCAGAGCAGAGAGGTCACTAGGCTCTAATGCATTTACCATTGACTGCCCCTCTTGTAGTGCGTCTATTAGTGGGTAATTTGATTTGTACCTATTCATTTGCAGTCCCTGCAGGAGCCTGGAGCTGGCCCCTAGTATAATTGGTGCTGTCTCTATTTTTACATCATTAGATTAGCCCCGACTCCTGGCCACTTGTTGTCTGCGCTTGTCTGTCCATTTATACAACCTAATGTAACACAAAATTCATTACTGATCACATTACTTTCAACTCTGAAGCCAGCCTTGTGATAAACATTTGGTTAACCCCTTCCTGCCTGCGGCGGGGCTGACGGAACAAATGCACTTCCAGTCGACAGGCAAATCAATATCTTAATACACCAAAGTGGAATTGCATTTCTAGATTTGTTATTCCTCCTGGAGGAGCAAATGGAAAGGCTCGTCTGAGCGAGCTGAATTGAATAATGAATAGAGCCCCGGCACCAGCAGCCAGTCTGCGGACAGAGCACAAAGGCAAACCCGGCACCCGCCCAAGCCCTTTCGTCTGGACGGGCGGCACCGTGGCAATTAATTGAGACTTGTGCTGGTGGGTTCAAGATCATAGGCTGGGACCCTAAGAGGGGCAACAGAGACCTTGACTCCACCGCCACTCTCTCCGCTAGGCTTGGCCTAGGACAACTGGACCAAGAACTGGGTTCATTTCCTGAAAACCTTCACTGATACGAAGGCACCAGCCATAGATGCCTCCAAGAAGTTAAATTAATTCCATTACTAAGGTTTACCATTTGCAAACAAATATACAAAATTATTCCTATTTAGAGCCAGGTCAGCAACGTTGGGGTTGGTTGTGTGCTGTGCCTGCCTCCGGGGTGAGCGTTCTTTGGCGTGGAAATGCCACGGGCACCTGAAAGCGGTCCTCAATCTCCCTCCATAGGGATGTCGGTGAGCAGCGTCTGGGGACTCCAGGCCAGGAGCTGGCCAAGAATCTTAAAGGGACCTCAGCACAGCTTTATTTAATCTAGAAGTTCCTCACCTCCCCCCAACCCTGGTTCTCCCCTCCGCAGCCCCCATCTGTCTCTGGGTAGCATCCTTACCCACTATAAGGCATTAACTTGCAGGATAGTTTGTTTCGAAAGGAATCATACCCTGACTTACTAAGAAACTCTCATAAAGCCTACACCACCAAGATTGGAAAAATAGACATCGAGGGAGTAGAATGGAACCCATTACTATGAAAGTCATGAAGCCCTACGTAAAAAGAAGCCATATACTGAAGATACTCAGTTGGGAAGGGAAGCTGGAAAAGGCAGCCCATCTAGGGGATGTTCTGCTTAAACTGGGGACGTCCTGAGCAGGAGGCCAAGTAGAGGCACCTGAGCTTCTGGTGACTGGGCCTCCTTTCTTTTGAGCAGGCCACCCTCCCTCCCCAGGGCCTGCACCCTGGACTCTGCTGCCTGTTAACCCGTTCAGAGCCCTGACAGACCAAAAATGACCAGCCATCCTGTGGGCTGTGGAGGCCCGAGGGATGCCTGGAGAGGGCTCACATGCCGCTCCTGGCCTTCTCCATTCCCCGCCCTCTCTCGGGCCTCCCTCCTGCATGCATGGGGGCGGGCAGGCTGCTTCACCCTGTCCTGACTGTGGCAAGTGCCATTTCCCTGTAGGGCCAGGCCAGAGGCTCTCCAGTGCTCCCAGGGGTCCCTTGGCAGGGCGTTCCAAGATCCCGCGCATCTAGGCAGTGGAGGGAGGATGCTGGTGTGTCCCTGAGCTGTGTCCCAGGGGCCACACACCTCCCCACCCCGCCCAGCCCTCAGTGCACTAACTTGCTCGGTCACAGTGAGCCTGCTGCTTTGGTCTCAGCTGTTAATCCTCTCACGTGGGTAAGTGGGACAGTGGGGTAGGGGGCTCTGGGCATCCCACAGGGGCCTCACCCCCGTCAGCCCTAGGAAACAGATCCGAGTACAGGCCTTTCCTGTTCAGACTAGGACAGACCAGCGGTGGGGAGGAGAGTGGGTCAGCCGGTGGAATGAGAGACTGTGATTTCTTAACCTTGATGGAAGGGGGAAAGCCACATCTTACCAAACTCTTCCGCTGCATCGGAGAGAATTTAATTACGTTTGGACATTTGAATGAGAACCAGATGTGGCTCCAGCCTATCAGGCCAGCCGTGTTCAAGGAGCAGCGTCTTTCCTGTGGTCCGCAGGCCCCTGCGCCATCTCCCAGCCCCGGAGGGCGGCTTGGACGGGGTCTTGCCAGCTTCAAGGAGCTGGACTTGGGGAGACAGGCAGGTTGCGGCCGGCTGCCAGACACCTGGTTCCATGGGACGGTTTCCAAGCCCTGGGTCCTCCCCAGAGCCATGCTGAGTGGGCACGTTAGCGGGCCCTCGTTAGCACCCACGTCGGCTCCACGTGCGGATGCACACAAAGGAGTCCCGTTGCAGGCCCTGGCTAGGCATCCTCTGCCACCACGCTGCCCCCTCCCTCAGGTGACCTCAGATGGCATCTGCCACAGCTCTGCCCCTGGTGTCTGGCCTGGAGCAAGAGGACAGTTCAGACCCTCCTGGGTGAGAGCCGCTTCTCCAGGGCCCTCTGCCTGCTGAACCGTCAGAGGTGGCAACGTCTGTTCTCTAAGCAGGACCCTGCTGCGGTAAACGCAGCCTTTCCTACGCGATCCATGCGGTGCATGTCCTGCTTCTTGAAGCACCTTCACATCCTTTTCTCTCTGGAGCCTCACACGCCCCAGTGAGGTCGCCAGAGCAGCCCCTCCCCTCCTGCCTGACAGATGGGGAAGCAGATGAGAAGTGAAGCCACTTGCCCAGGTCATTCGGCACGTCTGCGGCACAACTGGGGCTAGAGCGAGTTCTTGGCCTCCTCCTCCTCCCCGCCATCCACAGGGAGTTTCAGCTCAAGGCTACTCCTACATCTGGCTGATCTCAGGCAGGGTTTCAGCCAGATTTATCAAATAACTCAAAACCGGGGACACGTGAGCCGGGTCAGCTCAGCCTTTGCTGTCCCCATGTAGAATGTGCTGTGACAGGACATGTTTAAAGTTAGACTGACGGAGTGGCACCGAGAGGGCCCCTGCACATGGGGTACTGGTGGAGGTGGCCTGGGGGCCTGGGCCGGCTCTCTTTTCCTCTGAAGCCAAGACTTGGGAGGGCTTGGGTAACGTGGGTTTCCTGGGCGTCGGGTGTGGCAGCCTTTCTGGTCTTTCCCTGACTGGGATTGGGGCTGCATCGTGGCTGTTGTAGGAGGCACCTGGGGGAAGGCTTCAGTCCCCAGACAGGCCAGGGCATCCTCTGGTGCACTGATACCCCACCTGAGGCTGGGGAGAAATCTGGGACTGGGCTGTGAGCTGTTCTGCCTGGAACTCAGATGCTCGGCTCCCTGTCCCCGCAACACACACACACACACACACACATACACACACACACAGCAGGCTCCAGGGGAGAGGGGGTGGAGGATGCATTTTGAACATGGGCCCTTCCTCATTCTTCAGGCCTTGGTCCCTCCCTTCTCTTTTTTCTTTTGTGTTTTTTATTTGGCGGGGGAAGGTAATTAGGTTGGTTGGTTGGTTTGTTATTTGATGGAGGTACTGGGGATTGAACCCAGGACCGTGTGCATGCGAGCACGCACTCTACCACTGAGCTATGCCTTCCCCCTCTCTTTTCTTCTTTTCTTCTCCCTTCCCCAGCATCCCGGCGTGCTCCTCTCCTGTCGTCCCCACTGGGCCCACCAGGAGTCCTGGGATCTAGCCTGCCCCTGTGCCCCTACCTCATGATATTAATGTCAGACTGGCTTGTTGTCAGGCATAGGTTTCCAGGGGCCTGAGAACCTTGCCTATGGGAGGGAAGGGGTGATGGGGAAGAAAGGTGATGTGGGTCCCCTGGTTTTTCTGGGTGGACCCAAAGGCACAAGAGGGCTATCTGCTTGCCGGTCTCCTCAACCATTCTTTCCAGGTATTGGCCCCTACTTTCACCTTCCAGGGTCCAGTGGATGCCCAGGAGGGTTTGAGGTCTCCCTTAGGCCTCAGGTCTCCCCCTAAACCCTGAGCTTATTAGGCACCTCTGCGTGGCCAAGGGAAACAATTTAAAGTACCTGAGCCAAGAGCATCGGATGTTTGCCCTTGATGTTTGGAGCTGGGGGTAGGGGACAAGTGTGAGGGGCAAAATAGGTCATGTGGCCTTGGCCTCATCCTGCAAAGATATTCCGGGTCTCAGTACCTGTGGACGGGAGTCAGGAACAAGAGCTGGGCAAGGAGATGAGAAAGTGTATTTGTGGGAGCCCTGTGGGTTGGAAGAGACTCCTGCCGGGAAGGAAGACACGTGCCTGCCCACCGGCTGCGGGACTCGGGCCGATGGCACAAGCTCTCAGGACTTCCAGGCTGAGGGTGCGCAGAGCTGACCAGAAGTCAGTGGCTGAGCGGGCTGGAGCTCTGTGCTCAGACACTGGGGTGAAGCCCCGGGGATACCCAGGCCAGAGTTAGCCATCTTCTCGTCCACTCCCTCATTCTACCACCCAGACCAGGATTCCTGCTATCTGAACGTGGAGGGGCACCCTCAGCTCCTCAGCTTCGGGAAGCTGCCCTCCTTCCTTCCACAAGCACGCTCGGGAGGGGAACAAAACCCTTGCTGGAGGAGAAAGGTGATACCTTCTCAGCCCCACTCCCCCCCAGCCCCCATCCTTCCAAGACCTGGTGCTGGTGGACAAAGAGGATCCCTGCTCTGTTGGCATCTCTGCAGGCTCTGAAGCCTAAGGGAGGTGCCTGAGGATGAGGGGAGCCGACACCGAAAGGCTGAGAGTGGGGAAGAGGGAAGGTGCCGGGGAGCTGGGCAGCTTCAGGTGGCTGCGTCATCGGGTATAAAGAAAATCAAGGCCTCCCTACAGGCTACCACTTTTAACTGCTTGCCCTTTTAACCTCCTAAAAAGTGCCCTGGGACTCAAGCTGGCTCCAACCCAGAGTGTGATCTCTGACAGAGCTGTCAGGGTTTCTAGAAGCAATCTCAGCCGACTCCATTTCTGTCTCCCTGAAGAGACCTCCACCTCCCTGAGCCACCTCGGGAAGAGAGAATGATGTGAGACAAGCAGCCCACAGCTGTGTCTCCCAGGCCCACCCTCTAGTTGGCATCCTGACCATCTCTGCGGGTTCCAGCGCCAGAAAGCTGCCAACCTGCTGAGCTCCATGGGATGCAGTCGAGCCCCTCACCTCCTGAGCGCCTCTCTCTCCAAGCCCCATTTGCATAGCTGGTCCCAGGCCCTCCTTGTTGGCAGGCCCCTTGCTGACTAAGTCAATGGCTGGGGGCAGGTCCCATTTGGACCCCTTTGCTGAACCTGCTGCAGGCCTGTGGTCCCCTGGTCTCCTCTCTGTATATCCCCTGCCGAGAAGATGCTAAAACTCTCTAAACTCCTGGTCTGAGGACCCTCTTCCCCGACCCTCAACTCCTACCCCTACCCCAACCTCACTCCCCAGCCAAGAATCCTCATAGCAGAGGGGGATTAAATCTGTTCCTGTTAGCACACCCCCTCTGAGCCAGGCACTGGGCAAGATGGGGCAGTTTGACTTGCTGCTCTGTGCTCTGGGGCACCCAGTCCCCTGGGGTACCACTGAGCCCTGTCCAGACAGGGGGCTTAACCACAGGCCTGGCTGAGGGGGGTCGGAAGGGACTGGGAGGTGGACGCAGGAGGGAAAAAAATCAATGCATGTCAACAGGGTTGGAAATTTATTTTCCAGCTTGGAAGAGGGTATTTACAAAGAGGCAAGGAGGAAAATGAAAAGCTGTAAACACATATCTGCCATCTTCCTCTTCGGGCCATTTCTTGATTAAAAAGAAAATATTTCCCAAGGTCCAGCTGGGGGGAGGTGCAAACCGGTGGGGGCCTGGATGGCCGACGCCTGCTGGGCAGGGAAGATGGAGAGGGATCCTGAGGTCCTGATACAGCTGCAACAGTAAGAGGAACTCATTTGCTGACGGGAAGCTTTCAGCACTTTGGGATGCAGTCTACATGCATTATTTAATTTAATTCTACAACGAGCTAGAAAACAAGCCCTGTTATCCTCCTGGGCAGGAAACTGAGGCACAGAGAGTGAAGAACTTGCCCAGAGTCTCCCAGGTAGCAGGGGCCACAGCCTGGGCTTTTAACCACTTCCCTAACCTGCCTCCCCACCCTGGGCAGACCCCGCCCCTCCCCTCCTCTCAGGCCCTGAGGCTGAGGGGTGGGGGGGGCATTCTCCCTTGTCTCTGCTGGAAGAGTGCCCCCCTGAGGTCTAATCCCACTCCCACCAGGCCACCTGGACGGGGTGTGCGGCTGCAGCCAGGGCCCCATAAACGTGCTCTGCTAATCCCTTTAATGAGCAGCATTGTGAGGCTCTGAGTGTGCGGGGCAGCGCTGGCTGGAGCCTTCGCGCACACCAGAGGGGCCCCGTACTTCATGCCGCTCCTTTTGTGGCAAGGGAAGTGCCAGGGCCGCCTGGGGGCTGAACCAGGGCTCCCAGGAACCCTCCTCCCAAACACACCGAGCGCACCTCCCTTACTGACCGCACTAGGTCCCAGACACAGGCCTCCCTCGGAGTCCTGAGACTTGGGCTGGCCGTGATGCCCCCGCCTACCAGAAGCCAGAGGGGCTTCGCTCGGGGTCTCTGATTGGCCGGCCACCTCCGCTGCCATCTGGCCTGGAGGAGGCATGGATAAGGTCAAGCCCAAGATAGGACCTCACTCCCGATCCTCCCTCTGGGCTCCCCTGCCTTCCTGGGCTCCCCCAGTTCTCCCCAGAGCTCACACAGGCCCTGTGTCCTTGGCATTTCCCCACCCCCACCCCCGGATGGAAGAGCCAAGACCACAGGGCTTAGTAAAGTGACTGATGTGTGAAGAGAGACCTTCATCCAGTCTGTCCCCAGAAGTCCCTGCCTTGCCAGGTGTAGGGGTAGGCATACCCAGGGGAGAGGACGGTCCTAGGGAGAAGAACCTTAAGGGTGAAACTGCCTTGGCGACCGGCACTCCAGAGGGAAAGGCCAGAGAGAGGGGCTTCCCCGTGCCCTGCCCCCTCCTGCAAGTGTCCCCTCCCGCTTCATCCCCTGCCTCTCCCACGTGAAGCCCTGCCCCACCCATGCTCCCAGGAGCCCATCTCTGCTGCTCCTGTCTTTGCAAAGGGGCCACAGTATCCTGCTGGGGGCTGAGGGGCCGGGGTGATGGTGGGGTGAAGGACGGAAGAGGGGCGTGCCCTCATCCTGTGTGGCCCGGCCCAAGAGGGGGGCTCCTGCCTCCTCACATACTCCCTGGGTCTCCGTTGGATCCATGCCCAGGGAACCAGGGTCACTTCTCCCCAGCAAGGCCAGCCACCTCTCTGCCCTCTCTGACACCTTTGAATTTTGCCAGGCTCCATACTGAGTGAGGGCAACATAAGAGTTGAGCCTTTTCATTCCTTTCCTTATTTCACGAGAGCCATGGCTCATTAGTTGTGGCTCATTCCATTGTCCCCCTGTCCCCTGTAGCTTGCCCATCCTGTGCCATGGCACAGAGGGGCAGCTGTGGGTAGCAGGCCCATTTTCCAAAAAGAGCCAGCAGCACTGGGTGGACACAGCCGGTGGTGGGCCTGGGAGCCAGCCTTAGTGATGCCGGCAGTTGCCGCATCTCCGTCTGGGGCCTGCACCAGCGCAGTTCTCTCTCGGAGGTTGCAGACGCAGGGCCGCTGGCTTCCTGCTCTCTAGTTTGGCTGTCTGCAAGACGGGGTGACCAGCATCTACCTCCCAGGTGCACAGAGGTGCTGGGGAATGTGAGGTCACAGTGAGATGTTCTGTCTGAGTCCGGCCACCTCTCCAGGAGCTACTCCTCATCCCCTACCTCACTTTGAGGTCTGGTGAGCAGCCTCCTGTAGAGCGTGCCTTTTCCCACGGACCAGAATCCACTTACTTCCGCTGCGTGGGGAGGCCGCTGGGATGCTAGTCCCCCCCCACCCCAGAGCCCCCAGCTCTGTCTCCTGCAGCCCTGGCAGGTGTCTGGTGGACCTTCCCTACGAGTCCAGCTCAGCTGCAGAAGCCCTCTTCAGAGCCGGGGGTCTTAGGAATGGCAGGGAGGATGGCAGCCAGAAGCTGGGCCACTGAGTCAAGATGTTCGGAGGCGGCCCTGAAAACTCGGCAGCCTTTTTCGGTCTCCTCCTTCTCCTGGCATCCCGCCTGCATGGGGCGCCATCCGGCACTGCATGGGCCAGAGGCCCCTTCTCCCCCCTTCCCACAGCTGCTCCTCCTGCTCCGTGTGCAGCTCTTCCCCTCCCCCATCACCCCGGCGCCAAAGGGGGTCTCAGCTCTGTCCCAACATTTCTGTCTCTGGGACCCCCAAGACTGGCCCCTACACATGCATGTCACTGCAGAATTCTGCTGCAAGCTCCCCCTCCTCCCAGTGTGACCTCCCCACGCCTCCCGATTCCCTCTCCACCTGCTTGCAGAGATCAGTGTTCTTCTCCACCATTGTCCAGATCTTTTCCCAAAAGATTCCTCAATGCTTTTCTTTTCACAAGGGAAAAAAAAAGGAAAAAAAAAACAATGCCAACAGCCCAGCGTCCGTGAGCAACCCAACAGTAACAAAGCGAGTGTTCGGGATGGAGGAAGGTAAGGCCACACACTTCCGTTTGCCGCTTGCTCCGAGGGCTGGGCGGCCGGGGGACCTGAGGGGGGACCGTGTGTGCACCCCTCCACATCCACGTCCACTTCCGCTTCCGCACACACTCGTTGTCCTGTCTCAGTGAGAAGAGAAAGGGGGTTGACAGAGGCATGTAGGGAAGCACCCAGGACCAGCCAGGCCCCTGGTTCTTTTACTGGTAGTCATGCTGCAGAAGTCCCTCATCTCCTTACCACGTCACTCACTCATTCATTCATCTGAGAAATGTTTTTTGAGCATCAGCTACTTTCTAGGCCCTGTGGTTGTCACTAGGGAATGCAGAGATAAAGCACCAAGCTGATCCCTGAGGGACGGTCCCCCTGGATGGGGACATGTGTGAGCAGACAGCACACCACGTGCTTGAGGGCCCGGGGCAGGAGCCAGTACAGAGCACAGTGGGGCCTGAGTCAAAACAGCCCAGGCTCATGGAGGAGTGGATGCTTGTACTAAGCTTGGAAGATGAGTGGGCATTCTGGGGGCCAAGGGAGACTTTTCAGTCAGAAGGAGTTGCACGAGCACAGACCTAGAGGCCTAAAGAAGCCTGGAGAGCCCCCCAAACTGCTCAAGTTCATGACTTTGGTCCCTCAAATCCGGTAACAGGTGCCATTAGGGAGGTGGGGCCTCGGCGGGGGTGGCGGTGGGTCGTGGAAGGCTGTTTGATTGTGCTGAGGAGTTTAGACCTTATCCTGAGGACCATTCGAAGTTGATGAAGGTTTTTAAGCAGAGGAAGCGCAAGGGGAGGTTTGTGCAGCAGACAGGCCACTGTGGCTTCGGGATGGAGGTTGGGAGCCCAGCAGGGAGCTCTTGAGACTATCCGGACGGGAAGCGCAGGCCTAACCCCGGCAGCGGCCATGGGAGTGGAGAGGAAGGAAAAGACTGGGGGAGACGTCCGTCCGTCCGTCTGTCCGGGAGATAAATTCAGCACAGCTTGGTCAGCCTGGGATATGGGGGCGAGGGAGAGCCCGCCCCCTTCCCTCTTACCCCAGGCCTCATTGGTGAAGACAGAGTATGAACAGGGCAGTTCAGGCTCTACCTGGCCCCCAAAAGCAGCAAACTCATCTTGTCAGCCCCTTTGGCCACTGCCCCTGCACTGTCACACGATGGGACTCGTGAGATGGGGTCGCTGGGCTGCTGCGGGGGTCGCTGTGGGCCTGTGCTGGGGGGCAGCGGGGGTGCCACGCTTGGTCCCAGGCTCCTGTCTCCTCAGCTTCCTTGGCAGCATGGTTGTGCTGGCACTTTGCATCAAGGTCGTTAGGCCTGTCCCCCAGCTCTGGAGAGGGGCCAACCTTCCCCATGCTAGGGGCCTTTTCTGCTCCTTCAGCTGGGGCTTTCTTCCTTGGGCCTGGTTTCCAGGGCCTCAGGAAGCCCCTGCTGGTCTTGCTCCTGCCGGTGCTCCTCTCCCCTGCCCTCCTGGCCCTGCTGTCAGCGCCCCCTAGTGCTGGGTCGGCCTGCGTGAGGGCGAGGGCCTCTGAAATCGGTGGGGCCTGGGAGATCTCCCACAGATTCCTTGGCTGGCTTGTGGGGAAAGAGGTGTGTGGAGGGAGCTTTCTTGGCGCCTGCAGCTTCCATACAGAAACCCCAGGGTCTATTCTCTGCTTTCCTGCCCCGTCCCTCTCGGCACACTGGCTGGTACCCCCGAATGAGGGTGAGACTGGAGAGTAAGTGGGAAAGGAAAGAGCCCACCTGGTGGCCTTGTTTTCTGTCCACATCTAGATAATTCTCGACCTATCTCGGAGTCGGGCCCAACAGGGCAGCCTGTGTCTCCTGGAGCTTAGGGGCCGTCTCCAGGCCCACAGCCTGTGTCCCCGGGCCCCTCCTTCCACTGCCTCGTGTCTGCTGAGAGGTTCTGGTGTCCAGGCGCACCCTCCCAGCCTGGGTCCAGGCCCCAGCCATGGCCGGTGCAGCCTGAGAGCCCCTCACACCTGGGACGGGGGGCCTGCTCTGAAGGAGGGCAGCAGGGACTCCCCCCCCCCATTCTGTGGCTGCTGCTCCCGGGCCACCAGTGCTTTGGGGGTAGCCTGCAAGGAGCAGGGGTCAGTGGCCAGTTCCCGGCTGGCTGGTAGAGGCCAGCCCGGGAGTAAAGGCCACGGCTCGTTCCCTAACAAGAGCCAGCTGTGCTGCGTGGGGGGGGCGGCAGGGGGCCTGGGTGCGGGTGCCAGCTGGAGATGAAGGAGACCAGGTAAGCGTAACATTCGAGCACACCTTGCTATTTCAAATGACTGCTCTGAGGCCCTGAGCTCCTGAGGCAGGCAGGCCGGACCCCATCAATCCTGGGCAGGCGTACCTTGGAGGAGAGGCTGCAGGTACCACATCTTGGCTTGGGGCGGATGTTCAGAGTTTACCCAGGGAGGTGTGTGCCCATATCTCAGAGCCCACTGTGAGGGGCTGAAAGGGGATGGGAACTGGCCGTTTTCAAAAAGCCAAGAAGTAATTATTTTTTCTTGCATTCAGCATGCAAGGAAGCCTATTCCCAGCCCACCTACCCCAGTACCTGTCTTCGGTCAAGAGATGGTGAGGCAGTTGAGTAAGGTGCCCACAGTTGAGTGAGATGGAGCCAGTTGCCATATCCAAGATGGTAGCACGGCTGTGCCAGGCCCAGGGAAGGGGCAGAGGAGGGGGTGGGAGCCTCATTGCCTGCTTCCCAGGTTGACTGAGCATGTACATTTTGGGGGGCCTCCAGGAGACTTCTGAGCCAAGAGAAAGGGAGGAAGGAGGTACTCAGACAAGTAGGGACCCTCTGCCCATTGGAGAAAGCCCCTCTCAAATGAGGCAATCCCTCCCGCAGGGAAACAGGCCACTTTCCAGGCCGGGCCACAGATGAACAGGGGCCTGGCCAGCAGGCGGATTGTGTGGGTGAGAACAAGTGAGCAAGTGCGTGGCTGAGCCGGGACAGGCAGGGCAGGAGGAGGAGAGGTAGAGACAGAGCAGGCGGGGAAGCTGCAGTCCTTGCCGTGTCCTGGCTTCTCCCCTCCTGCCTGACCTGTCAGTCCAGGACAGGAGCCTCCCATGGAGGTAGGGGAGCATGCTGGCTGAGCACGAGTGTGTGTGCAGGCGTGGGCACATGCCCCGTGCATGGCAGTGTGGTCCAGACACGTCATCAGGACAGCCACACTTCTGGCCCAAAGGGGTTCCCACAATGAAGGAAAAACTGAGGCCTGCCGGCCAAAGGAGCTTCTCCTTCCTCCGGCTGAGCCTCCCTGTGACCTGAGGTGCCACCTGGCCCATCTGGGGAGCACGTGGGGGTCCCCCTGCGGAAGGATGTAAATGGACCCAGATTGGTGCCTGAAGGCAGGCAGTCCTGCCCAGGGTATATTCCCCACCCCTTGAGACTACACTCTGACCGGGCCCGGTCCTCTCTTCTGTCTTGCAGAACTACAGCGAGAGGGAAGCATCGAGACCCTGAGTAACAGCTCCGGCTCCACCAGCGGCAGCATCCCGAGAAACTTTGATGGCTACCGATCTCCACTGCCCACCAACGAGAGTCAGCCCCTCAGCCTCTTCCCTACCGGCTTCCCGTAGGTACCAGCAACCTGCTTCTGACTGGCCGGCCCACTCACCTGCTGGCGGGAAGGGGAGAAGCCCCCTCTGGTCCTACCCTTCAGTCTCCGCTCCTCGTTTACCGCCCACCTTCCCCAAGCCTAGTGACAACAGCACCCACCCTCCCTGGATTGAGAAGAGACCTTTCTCCGAAGCACCTCGGCGCAATCTGACCTCTGCCCCCTCCCCATCAGCAGGGCTGTGGCTAAGAGAGACTCCGCAGAAGCTCCGTCCCCTCCTCCATTGGCACACCATATCCTGCATTGGATCCGCTTTTGTATTTTCTAACCAAACCCTTGGGGGGGCCTGGGTGGGGAGAGGGTGGATGGCCTGGCGGGCACCTTGGTCCTGAGTGGACAGCCCCAGTCCACTCCTGGCTTTGACACATGCCGCCCAGCTTCCCTTGGCCAACCTCCCCTCTGGCACGGGGTGAACTGAGGCCCAGAGTGTTAGGGAAGAAGGAAGGAGGGAGAAGCCCCCTTCCTCTTTTCTTTCCCCTTTGGCTCATGGAAAGGATTTGTCTTTCTTGTCTGTAAGCCCTTTTACCCTGGCCCTGTACCGTTCAGTGGAGGAAACCGTGGTTACCAAGGCCCTGTCAAAAAGTGCACGTCTTGTCCAATAAATCACGCTGCAATTGGTGTCCATCCCTGAGTTGCTGGGGTCGGGTCCTCTCCAAGCACTGAGCAGAGAGTCCTGTGGGCCTGACCGTGTGTCCCTGCTTGTGACACCCCCACCTTGACGTGTGCAGCTGAGGGGGAGTCAGGAAGGGGGTCGGAAGGAGGAACTCTGGAATTGGGGTGAGGCTTGACTGAAATCCATTCTCCAACCCTCTTGCCTATTACCAGAACCACTGAGTTCTGGGGGCTCCTCAGGCCTGGACCTACCCTGGCTGTGGCAGTCAGGGTCCGTCAGGTCCTCCACATGTGCCTGTGGCAGCTGTGGAAAGGAGAGGCTGATGAAGACTCCGGCCTTAACTTTGGGACGGGCACGTTGTCATTCCCTCTCTTTTCAAACTCAGAAAGTGAAAGATGGTCAGGTGATGGTGGGTCTCCCATGAAACCTGGCTGGAACCTTGGATGACAAGTTCCTGATGTGGTTGCCCTCCCACCTCCCAATTCTGGACCTAAGGTGCATGGCAGGAAGGAGACGGGAGCAGTGGGAGCAAAAACGGGTATTGAGCCTGAAGGAGCCAAAGGCTAGCGCCAGTCCCGCCTTCCCTGAGGCCCCAGAGGGGCCTGGGAGGACTGAAGGAAACCCACTGAGCCAGGTATGGTTGGGGATGAAGTTTAATGTAACAGCCGCAGAAGAGCTGAGTTCACAAACAAGCAGGCTCCCCATCCAACCGTCCAGCTGGAGCTGGGGCAGCTCCGGGGCCCCTGCCCGCTTCCCACACACCCCATCCCACCCTGGCACCTAAAGAGAGAGTTCATCTTCATCTTCAGTGCCTTCAACCCCAGCATTTTGGCATGCCAGGAGAAGGGGGACCTGAATCCTACTCAGCTCTGAAGGCTGAGTAGATGGCCCTGCACAGAGTGGCTGAAGCCAGTCTCTCCTGCCTGGGAACCTGCGGGGTGAGAGATCACATGCCAGAGTGAGGCATGCTGGGAACGGAAGGAGGCCTGGGCACAGCCAGTGGGGGCCACTGGACGAACAGCAGCTTTTCCCATTTCAGGTGAATTGGAGACACTGATGTGCCTGGCACAGCCCTCACCCCTAGCCAGAGCAGTGTTTCAGTCAAAAGGGGACAGGCAGGGAGGGGAATGCCATCAGGCTGTCAGTGCACACTGCCTGTGGCCTGGCTCCTTGGGGATGGGTCCAGAGCTCAAGAGAGGGTACACCTCTCTGACCCCACCCTTGGGCACAAGGATGGGGCAAAGATGGAGAGCCAGGAGCGCCCTCCAGCCATGCAGGAAACCGGCTGGCAACTTAGAGTCTGGAGTCCTCCCTGGCTCAGCCCTTTCCCTCCAGGGGGTGCAAAACAGCTGTGGCCGCCTTTAGTCAGGGAAAGTGGTGGGTGTAGGGCTGGACTTGCCGGCTGAGCTTGCAGGACAATCTGGTTATTCATCTGCTCGCAGCCAGGGCAACTCTTTGAGTATGTGGGGGAAGGGGGAGGATAAGAGAGGCCAGATAAGCTGGCCCCATGGCGGCTGCCACTGGAGCTGGGGTTATCAGAGAGGCCTTGGGCCTGGCCCCCGGCTAATTGGAGAGGTTATGGACCCTGCCACCGCCTGTAATCAGCTGAAGTGAGAGCTGGGCCCCAGGGTGGGGGACCTTACTGCCCCCTGGCCCAGGAGCAGCCAGCCTCTTGTCCTCTAGAGATAACACCCCGGGCAACCTCTGCCTCACCCCCAGCGGCCCCTGCAGACCTCCACGATGGCATCACCTAGGAGGCCATCAGGACATGCATCTAATTGTGGCCTGACCAGGTGACCTTGAGGAAGCCTGATTCTCAGTGCTACCTGCTCAGCAGGCAAATTTCCATGGACTTTCAATTTGATGGAGGAAAAAGTATCTTCATGCTTTGCGAGGAGGCTGATGGGAGCTGGGGTGGCAGCTCCAGGGGGGAGGGCACTGTCTGGGCTTGACTGGAGAAATGGCCCAGTGGTCCCAAAGTAAATTCAGGCACACAGCACTCTGTCAGACATTAGGGTCGACTCCTCTGGAAGCAAGCAGAGGCCAGAGCAGACAGCTGTCAGTCTAAGATTGTAAATGATTTCTCACTGCTGATTTTTCTGATTTTCCCAGATCAGAGAATCTTTAAACAGTGCTCTAAAATAGCACTGTTCAGTCCTCATTTTGCAGATGAGAAGCCTGAACTCTAGTGAAGCCTTGCCCAAGGTTAAGAAGTCACACAGCTAATCTGCTGGCCTTGCTGCCTCACATGCCTGGGCCAGTTCCCCTAGAGGTCTCTATTCTGTGGTGACCTCCCTGTCCTGGGCCCCTACACAATCCAAGACTCTGAGCCCACTCACTCCCATTCCCTACCCCTAAGAGCATCCAGCCCTGGCCCCTAATAGGTTTTGAAGCTGTTCCTTTGTCACTGTGTAACTAGGAAGGCAGCCCCCTTTCGCAGACCTAGAGCTGGAAATTCTAGGGGCAAAAGAGAAGGGCGTCTTGTATTCAACGCAAGAGCCCAGCTTGGAAT